ATGGGGCGAATGGGGAGGAAAACCCCGTGGGGCCCCCACCCCATGGAGCAGCCTATCCTTTTCTAAGATCGTTGAACCCTTTTCTTTTATTCACCCTCTCGTAGAGCCGTCACTCCTTCGCTTTACGAAAAACACCTTTTCTAAGGATTACGTTAAATCAATGTCTTAGATGAACCGTAAGCTTGTGTTAACCGACATCGCTTCCGTAGAACCTCTTTTACCCGTCAAACGCTCCCGCTAAACATTTAAGCACAAAATCAATAGAAACCTTAAAATCAACGGCGTCTCCGGACACGCCTTTTATATGATCGCTCGCTAAAAAGACGTAGAACTATTCTTTACGTCCCTTTACGAGCTCGATTGCTTGATCTCCGAGCGTTAGACGATTGCTTTTACTTAAGCTAACTATTAAGTATCGCTAACACGCTTCACTAACGGCTCTATCTTTGCTATTAACCTTGCAACGGAACTATCAGAGCTTACTGACGACCTTTTTATTCTTCCCGAATACTTCGATTACGCACACGTGTTCTTTAAGGCCGCTAGCAACGTGCTAGCACTACACAAGCCTTACGACCACAAAATCGAGCTTCTCGAAGGGAAAGAGAAGGCGCTTCGGTACTCACTATTGTACAAGATGTCGATCCTTGAGCTAGAGCTTATTAAAGCTTATCTTATCGACAATCTTAATAAAGGTTTTATCGAACCTTTAACAGCGCTATTTGCAGCTCTAGTCTTGTTTGTTAAGAAGCAAGACGGTTCCTTCCGCTTTTGTATTGACTTCCGCGCGCTGAACAACCTTATTCGTAAAGATCGATACCCTTTCCTTTTGATCGATAAGACTTTCGCACGTCTCTTAAGAATTAAAATCTTTACGAAACTCGATATTCGGCAAGCCTTTCATAGAATACGGATGGACTTAGCTTTAAAGGAGCTCACAACATTCAAGACACGCTACGGTGCTTACAAGTGCAAGGTTCTTTTATTCGGACTGACCAATAGACCCGCCACTTATTAACGCTATATAAATGACCTTCTTTTCGATTTCTTAAACATCTTTTGCATAGCATATTTAGACGATATCCTGATCTACTTTTCCGACCTTTTGGAGCACGCCCATTACGTTCGCTAAGTCTTTTAACGACTCGACGACGCTGGCCTTTAAGCTGATATTAAAAAATGCGAATTCAGCATAACTAAAGTAAAATACTTAAGCTTTATCATTTCTACCGAAGGCTTAAAAGTAGATCCGGACAAGACGTCGATAATAGAGCATTAGGCGCCTTTTACGACCGTTAAAAGCGTTTAAAGCTTCTTTAGATTTTGCAACTTCTACCGCCGATTCATTCGAGACTACGGCGTAATCGCGAAGCTTTTAATGCACTTGACTAAGGCTAACGTTCTTTTTTCATTCAATTCTTAATGTTAGAAAAGCTTCGACCTCTTAAAGCTCGCCTTGATTACTGCGCTAATCTTACAGCATTATAACCAAAACCTCTTTTGTATGCTAAAGACTAACGCTTCCGACGGCGTAATCGCCTCAGTCCTCTCTTAAAAGCATAGTTCCGACTGGCTACTAGTCGCTTACTATTCTAAAACTATAGCTCTTGTTAAGCTTAATTACGTCGTTTACGACAAAGAGATGCTAGCTATCATACGCTCTTTTAGTAACTTCCGCGCCGAACTCGCCGGCTCTTTTTACTAAGTTCAGGTAATCATCGATTACAAGGCTTTAAAGTACTTTATGACTTCTAAGACTCTTAACGCTCGTCAAGCACGCTGAGCAGAGCTCTTTTCCGACTACAACTTTATTATCACGTATAGATCAAGTAAAGACAACCTTTTAGTTAACGCGCTGATACGTCGCACCGAAAAGCTCTTTTCTTAAAATAGCCTTAAGCGCACCTAACGCTTGTAAACGCTGCTCCGCGCCGACAACGTTGACCCACGATTCTTGACCGAAGAGCTACGCTAACTTACGCCCTCGGAGACCGCCGTCACTATCGAAGAGATCGCGAAGCTTTCACCGACATTCCGAGTTATTAACCAAGTCTTAGAAGCTAATCGGACCGCTTTTAGTTTCATAGCACTTCGAATTTAAGCTTCTAGAGCTAAGTCTTTACTCGTGAACCACGGTTCACGGGCCAAACTCATTATAGAAAGCGACTTGCTGCTTTATGACGGCCGCTTATTAATTCTCGACGTCTAAAACTTGCGCTCGTTACTCGTCCGAGAAGTCTACGACCAAGTATTTACGGCATACCCTAGCTCTCGCAAAACCTACAAGCTCTTTGCAGCATAGTACTACTAGCACGGTATAGCTAGATTCGTCAACCAGTACTGCCGCAACTGCTACGCTTGCAAACGAGCTTTAGTGCTCCGCGATAAGAAACCTAGCTTGCTCCAACCTCTCCCGATCCTTTCGCGCTTTTAAGAGCACGTTACTATAGATTTTTATAGCTTTAATAAAGACAAACACGGCTACGACAACGTTTTTATAGTAATCGACCGCTTCTTTAAGCAAGCAATCTCGATCTCTTGTCATAAGTCTATCGACGCTAAAGGCTTCGCCAAGCTTTATATCTACTACATCTATAAGTATTTTAGAGCTCTTTTAACGCTGACTTCTGACAGAGGACCTTAATACTAGTCTGAGTTCTGGAAAGAATTCAATAAAATCCTCGGCACCAAACTGACCCTTAGCACCGCTGCACACCTTAAGACTGACGGTCAGACCGAAATCTACAACTAGTACTTGCAAAAGCGCCTCCGTTCTTTCGTGAGCTATTACCAAGACGATTAGAGCGAGTTCCTCTTTATAATAGACTTCGCCCAATTGACGCTCTTTCACGACTCCTTCGGCGGCTTCTCCCCTTTTAAGGTAATTCACGGCTACGCCTCCCGGACCACTTGGAATTAGAGCTTAGAACGACTTAACGACCAAACTCCTTCTCGCAAGCTCAACCAAGACGAAGCTCGCGCTTACGCTAACCGCTACTTCGGAGCTTAGAACCTCGCTAAAGAGCACCTTTAGCGCGCTTAAGACCGCATAGCTAAACAAGCTAATAAATCAAGGCGCTCGATTGACTTCGACGTCAATGATAAGGTTTGGTTAGATATGCGCCCGTTCTTTACCTCTCGACTATTAAAGAAGCTCGATAACCTTACAAACGGACCGTTCGAAGTTACCGACAACGTTTATAGCAGCTTTAAACTCAAGCTCCTCGAGTCAATAAAGGTTCACCCAATCTTCTACCTCGGACGGCTACGAAAAGCTCTTAATGACCTTACCTTCGAGCAAATCATTCTTGAACCTGACCCGATTAATATTACTAGCGAACTTGAGTACGAAGTAAAGAACATCTTAGCCGTGCGCTAAACCAAAAAGCACCTCGAGTACCGCGCTTCTTAGCTTGGCCGCGACATTGACCTTACCTGGTACCCCGCCTCCGACTTCATGTACGCTCCTTTCAAGGTACGTGACTTCTACTTAAAACACAAGGAGCTCCTCGGCCTTCCCGCGAAGCTCCTCGACTAGATCAAGGCTTATTCGGACGGTGTTGATGACTACGATCACTTGAGTAGTGATAAGGCAATAGATAGACGCTCGAGGACGAGCTTTTTTCGGACGGGAAAGTAGTGTGACGACACGCTAAGTCTCTTAGACGCACCTCACATACGCTAAGCTACTTCCTTCCTTTTTCCTTTCGTATTCTTCGTATTCTCTCATTCCTCGCTTTTGACTTATGAACCATGGTTCACGAGTCCTTGGCGCTTCTACCTTCGTGTATATAAACCTTAGCTACCTTCGACTTTTACACTCGGTAGTTGTTGATTCTAAGTCATTACTTTGAGATTTTCTTGAGCTCCCATGTAAACCCCGCGCTCTCGTGAGTTCCTTCAGGTAATCGCTTAAGGTCGTCACAGATTAGCGAGATTAAAAGCATTATTATTAAATTAAAAGATATTAAAGACTTTAATTAAATAAAAGACGCTTTATTTAATATAAAAAACGTTAAAAAGGATCGCTTAAAAGAAACGAATGCAGCTAATATAAAAGGTAAGCAGCCGTTAAACCTTATAAAGATTGACTTAAAAGGATTTAATTAAAGCTTAAAAGATACGACCTTATTTAATCCGAGCGATGTACAAACGTTAAAAGCTTTAACTTTAATTAAAAACTTTATAAATACGTTTATATTAAAAGCAATTGCTTTACGAGACGATCTAATAAACCTTGACGATTCGAATTATACCGCTAACCGTCTCGCTAGCTCTTTAGTTAAAAGCAAAAGCGAAAGTGCTTTAAGATTGCTAAAAGCAAAGAAGAGCATCGTAAACGAATAAAAACTTAGCCTTAATAAAAAAGCGCGCAAATTATACCTTTAGATTATTATTTAAAGCCGAAGCTTGGAAGGCCAAGCTATAAGCCGACTAATAAAAGCTTTTACGTTAATAATCGGCGGAGATTCAAACCGAACAATTAAGGAAGAGCTTTTAAACCCTTTTAAAGCGAGCATTAATAATAAGAAATTAAATTATAAACATTTTAAATAAAATTCCGACTTTAATAAAAAGCTTTCACTTATTAATAGCCGTATTAGAAAACGCGCGAAGATATACGCAAGTGTTAATAAGCTTTTTTTAAATAACTTTTTCGCCGATTCGAACCGCTATTCGCGCGTCTTAGATTTTGTATCGACTTTTTAAGCTAATAGCGATTCCGTACGCGAAAATAGCAAAGATTACGAAATATTATACGCTATTATAATAGCTGCTACTTCGTTTAAGCTATCATTAGAATAGCTTAATTCGCAAGAACGGAAATATCTAAAATCTTTTACTTATTAAAAAAAGCTATAACGATACTTATACGGCAAAAAGTTTAAAAATAAAGCTTTTATAAAGCTAAATAATTTAGAAAAAAGGAATTATTAAAAAGTAATTCCCGAAAGCGAAGCTAATTTAAAACTTATACTTTTTAAATAAGTATTTATATATAAAACTAGCTCGTTCGAAAAGATCGTAAGATTTAGATCGAAGATTATAATTAAAAGCGATCTTTAAGACGAATCTATTATCTATTCAACTTACGCTATTACGCTAGCAGCTAAATCGTTTAAGATAATAATAGCTATAGCAGTTAAATTTGATTTAAAAGTAAAGCAATTCGATATCGTTAACGCTTTTATTAACGCTATAAAATATACGAATAGCGTTTTAATCACGTATTATTTTTTTAACGGTTTTAAGCAAAAAGATATGCTCGTAAAGGTCGATAAAGCTTTATATAAATTTAAAGAGTCGTTAGCTTTATAGTATTTCGACTTTATAAGCATACTCGACAAATTAAAGCTTACGCTATTCGATAAAAAACCGTGTATTTTTACGAATTTAAATAAAACGGTTTTTATAGCGTTTTACGTAAACGATATTTAAGTTATATATTATTACTTTAAGATTATTAACGATCTTAATAAAGCGTACGAGATCGAAGCGATAAAAGATATTAAATGGTTTCTTAATATAAAAATCGCTCGAGACCGTTAGCAAAAAACGCTAACGCTTATGTACGACGCTTATATTAAAAAAATAACTAAGAAATTCGAACTCACGGACGGACGCTGCTTAGCAACTTTATTATCGTTTTATAACTTAATTAAAAATGAAAGGATAGCTTCGCGGAAGCAAGTAAAAAAGTATTAAGAGAAAGTTAGATCCGTGCTATATATAGCGATTATGCTACGCCCAAATGTAGCTTTTGCAGCCTTTTAACTTTTTTATTTTAATATTAATCTAAGCGCGAAGCACCTCCGAGCTATAAACTAGTGTTTGCGATATTTATTTAGCTCGCGCTTTAAAGGTATTTAATATAGCCAGTTCAGTAAATCAAAGCTAATAATAGCTTTTAACGCTTTTTACGCCGATAACGAAAAGATAAAGCGATCTTTTCAAAAGTATATTATGTTTTTATTCGAAGGTGCGATCCTTTAAAAAGCTTTAAAGCAAAATACAATT